CCTCAAGCGAGCTTGTGATCCAGTCAACGAGGCGCAGGTGAGCTCGAGTTGTTGTTGGTGAGGTCGATGCATATCTACAGGTGAGGCGAGCTCGAGCAGGCGAGCTCCAGGTGGGCTCGTGACTTGCAGGCGAGATCGAAGGATAGGCGAGCTTGAGCGCTCGTTTGAGTGCGATCCAGGCTGTCGACAGCCAGTCGACAGCTCAGCTAGGATTTCCCTATAAAAGGGAAACCCCAGGGCCGAAAGAATATGCTCCTCTCTCACGATCTCAAGAAAATCCTGGCGGCGGATTCCTTCTCTCTCTCTATTCCGTTCTTTTCTTCTCCACCTCTCAATCGTGATTTTGAGGGGAGACTTTAAGAAGGTTATTAAAGAGAGGTGAAGGGAATTAAGGGGGGAGTTTAAGAGGGACATTGTAGCTACAGTGTTGTCTTTTGTATTTATTGAGAGATCTCAGTTTGAGATCTGCTATGTTTTGTAATTTCTTATGGATTAATAAGAAATTTATTGTGTGGCTCCCGAGAACGTAGGCAGTTACCAAACCTCGTTAAATCTTGGTGTATTTTCTCTATTCCGCATTTCTGCTGTTTTAAGGGTTTCGACGTAAATTCCCCAACACAAGAACGCAGAGAAGTGGACATTTCCAGCCATTTCCGAGCTTTAAGGGCGGAATGGGAAGATCTCATCTCTCCTACGTGGAGCAGTTTTCCCACGATTTTTCCCCCATTGTATTTTTCCAACCAAACCCATGAAATGAAACCGAAAAAATAAAAAGCCCAAAACTGACAGAGGGTGCAAATGGTTTTCAGGGGGCTGATTTTGCGAACCAAACAGCCCCTAAGCAAAAGGATCTTCCATTATCCTGTCCGTTGTGTCAATCATTTGTTATAATGTGATCGGTTTCGCTTGAAAATTTTCAAACAGAAGCGAACCAAAATATTCTAAACTTTTGCTAAACCATAAAAAATCACTTTAATTGATTCACACCGTCTAAAGCTCATTCCTAGTTTTTGCGACGCATGCGTTGCGAGTGGGGACCCTGTCTACATCTTGTTATTCAAATTTAGTTAGAATTGTGTGACATACATCGAAGAAAGAACTGTGTTCCACGTTCTAGAGTGACAGAAATTCAGAAAAACCAAACAAGGAGTTTCTGACAGTGTAGAAGTGCAGAAATTGAAAATCTAAACCAAACAATCTCCAAGGGAATGACAACGTGAAGAACTCCAAGTTCATGCGGATGCTGGAAGACAAAAGCGGTACTAATAAAAGCAATTTCAAGTGGATTTCATGCTAGAGAGCCTCTACATAGAGAATGCTGTACAATTGCACTTGTAGTGGCCGAACAGTGGAAAACAGTGGGATGATGATACCTGGTTTAAAACGCCTCGCATTGTGTGTAGAAAGCAGAAGCCCAGACATAACTGGATAACTATTTTCTATGAAAATTTTGGCTTAGCCGTTATCCCACATGACGGGAAAAATTAGAAAAAAAGGAGGGCAAATGCTATACTGAACCCTCACTGAACCTTACATGAGCCTTAAAAAACCCTATGATATTCTCCAGTGGGGGTAAATTTTGAGGGCGAGAACACAAGTAGCAGGAATCTTCATAGCTCCTAATTTCCTTCATATGCTCAGTTTCTGCTACTGCATTCCATGAATCAAGAAGTTGGGCTAGCTATGGCACCGGTACAGACAGAGAATGTACATTTAGCCCGGTGGCAAAAGAATATACATCAACCTACTGAAGGTAATCAATCAATATATCATTTTCTTCAAGATGTAGAGGGTGATCTACTGAAAGAAGTTTCTCTGCTTAGGATGCTGTATTTTTCCTGAAGCTTTGATCTATTTTCTGCCCACCACTGCTCTGCTTTCTGCTCACTGAATCTTTTCCGACTGCAACACAACAATGAATCCTGGTCAGACTTCCAAGATATCAAATGGTTAAATGATAACTAAATCAAATGTGATCACAATCCATGCAAAGGAAAAATACAGATATACAGCATATCCAATAAATGAGATTGATACTTCCCCCAAATTCATTTCCAAATTCATTTGTATCTGTTGTTACTGGACAGTTCATTTTTGCTTGCTTGTGCTCTCTTTCTCCAAACCATAGCACAAATAAGATGCAAACATGCAAGCCTCTGTATACATACGTAGCTGGTAGGAGATTGTGTCTGTGTGTTTTCTGCTCATGTGCGTATAGCTACCTCTTTTGACAAGCAGTATTACCAGATAATATATAGGTTGCCGCTGAGTAAAAGTGCAGGATCAAACATGTTGAAGACAGTTGCATGGATAGGACAAAAGCTGCCAGTTACAACCAACATTTTTTTTATGATGAGAACAAAAATTTCCTATCTAAAGATATATGACAATGAAACTTGTAAAAAAGTTAACCCTTCTTCGTGGCCATATTAGAAAGTTCATCTTGGCCTTTACAACTTAGCATCTCTTTCCATGCAAATTAATATTCGACACACAATTTTAATTGGTAAGCGTATTAATTATTGCAGTTCCAGCTCTGATTACTTAGGTTTTTTTGACTTGTTTAATCAAAGAATCACTCTAAAATTTTTGGACTCGCAATCAGAAGCACATTTCAAGTTTTCATCTTTGTTTCTCAACATACTTCAAACATTAAATTTTTTAAGATCCAATTAACAATATGCAAACTAGTTTCCAATGCTGCATAATTAATGGAAATGGCAGTTGCATACCCGTATATTATATTTCTATGGATGCTGGATTCCAGGCATCCATGTCTTTAGGCATGCACATAAGTTGGAGACTTCTAAGTATAGTGAAGCACTGACTGTAACCACTAAGAACAGGAATTAAACACTAAAAGCTTTCCAAACAAACCAAATTGATTAGTTACATAAAAAAGGATTACGGAAAGAGACGTATATCTTAGGTGAGTTTGTACTGTGTTCGGTACCCTAGTATCTAACAGTAGAAAGCCATAACCAGCAAATAAGCTTCAGATAAAATCATCATTTGATGCATGATTGTAAGAAGTCAGCATCCTATATCATTAGCAAATTTGCAACTGCTATTAACATAGGATATATCAAGATTGCACCCATCTTGATGGTTCTACCATACATGTTAAACTTGACCATATGCAGAGCACCTTTATTAATGTTCTTACCCTTGCACCAAAACTCCTAACTCTGGTAAAGGTTGATGGACTTAGAGAAATTATCTGAATACTTGTTTGCAGGTTGAGGCCCTTTATCCATTTGAAACCTTGGGCTTTATGTAATGGAATTTCCTAATCAATCTGCTATCCGCTTTAAAAACACACACGTCATGCAATGCATACATGTTCCCAACGCTCTCACTTACCTGCCTTTGGTAACAGGTTGATAACTTGCAGATATACCCTTTTTCCTAACAGTAGTTAATGGAAGTTGAACGCATAATGGACAGAAAAACCAAAGCTCACAAATTATATCATCCCTAGCTTTAGCTTTTATCATTGTCATCTCAACAAGCATGTCCCATTTGATAAGACTATTGTTGATGGAGATGAGTGGAGTACATGCACTTGCTGATATGAGACTAAGTGGATCAAGTGGAGGATAGTTTTGAATTATACGTCAGAGAAGTAACGTTAACAACATTTGATTTGGTCAATTATCACTAGCCTGATCTCCATTGACTTATAAAAGAGCACATGTGCAAAACTACCCAAACACAATGTTGTACATGGCATTATGACAAGTGAAAGCATATAACAGACACCCATATCTATCTATATCTATATTTGAACCATGTTTTGTATCATAGTTACCAATATAAGTGAGATACTCATTCTCGAGAAAACTAGTGTCTATATGCAACATCCAGTCAATGTAATTATTGATATAATACTTAGTCAAACTCATGAAGCACAATTCAACTAGACTATTCAAAATGTTTCTGGATCCTACAAGCTCTATCTATCCAGAGTTAAACAGTAGTTTCTCAAAACTCATACACTAAGTAGTAATTCCAAAAGAAAAAGGAGAGATCTTAACTTGGACCAAGTTCCCTGTATAGATCAAAGATGTGTTTTATTTTGATGTTCCAGATCTATAGCCAAGCAATACGCTAGGGTACCAGTGTATGTGTACTGTGTACCTTGTTTGGAAGATTTTGTAGTCATATGTGATACATGTTTAGTGCATGCTGCGAGCAGAGCATGATACGAGTGTCTTCCAGAGAATAAGAATATCAAAAATTTTAACATTCAACGCCAGGTGTCCAATGTTGCTTTCAACAGCAACAGCAAAATGGTGTGATCCACGGGTGAACATAAAATATATTTGTCATACTATTTAGCACTTGAGAACTCAGGATACAGGTCATGTCATTGGCAGGTTTCACAAAAGAAATGCTTCATTATGTGACTTCCATAAAAAACAAGAGACTACGCCCGTACCTAAAACGCACTCTCTTGAGATGCTTGCCACCTCCAGGGAACGAGGAAACTGTTATGTAAACTCCTTGCTCAACTTGCTCAACCCACTCTGCCTCTTCTTTTGATAAGGCAGCTCCGTTGCAGGGCAATAGATTACTTGAGTTGCCATTGGACTGTGGAGCCAAAGAAGCAGCCATGCTGCTCTCATTGGAAGGCAATTTCAATGAACTGGAAGAATGTGAAGCACCACATCCATGACCTTTATTCATTGTCCATCCTTCAGGTTCTTTCTCAGACACATCCTTCAACTACATTGTGTCAAAATATTATGTATATCAATTGTGTGATTAATAGACGGAATATTAAAAACTAACATGAAATCAAGCAGTAAGAATAAAGAGGTGCTTGATGAACTTCTCTGGGGACTATATTGAACTATATAGCGGACATAATATCTGCAAAAGAAGCCACCTTCCAGAAGTGAAATCATAATCTATTTCATCCTCTGATCATGTAAAAGGAAAAATCAGTGGTCGCAAAAACTTTCCTGTGACAACCCCACAGAAAATAGGTGCCACTAGTTTTCTACTAGTAAGTAGAAAAAAGGATGTTAAATAAGAATATGTAGATTTACAGGCTTCTTGACTTATAAAGCACCAAACCACATTGAAGCAGATCAGTCGTATCCATATACATACTTGCATAAAAGCTGTATAGGGGGCTTTTCTTCTTTTCCATTAATAACGTTGTTATTTACTATATATTTCCAATGAAGGGTAATTTAGGGAAGGCTTAAAGTGAGGGTTATTTTGGGAAGACATGGGGCCAAAATTTGACTTTACTGTGCTCTCTCATCAATTCACTCTTCTACTCTGACCAAAACAAACTGGGAACAGTTAGTGGAGGGTTATTTTAGGAAATTTTGGACCAAAAATTGACTAAGAGCAAACTAACAAAAAAAACTATTGAGGCGATGATAATCCATCCCTCTTCACCGTAGGGCTGTTGAAAGGAGACGACTAGGCCAAAACAAAATTGAGTTGGTGAGGTCGGTAAGGTGGAGGTGAGGGAGTGGTGAAGGGGGCTCACATACATCTCCTATTTGAGGTGAGGAAGGTTGAGAAAGTGATGAGGGAGGGTGAGGGATTTGTTGAATATATGGGAGAAGATGAGGGCTATAAAAGGGGAAGAGAAGGAACAACTCAACCTGAAACCTCTTCTCTCAAGGTTCTCTCTCTCTCTCTGATCTCTCTCTTCCTTCACTCCCTCTTTTAACTTGAATTTGTTCTCTTGATACGTTAATGTTATAAATAAAAATCGCTTCTGTGAACAATTTGTAATGGGTTTTTAAAGTTGTTTTGGTATTTTAATTGTTGATATGATGGAAGAGGTGGGTTACGGTTTGGGTTTGCAATTGGAGGAGGCTGTGATGGTGGAGGACAAATTACGAGAATAGAATGACGAAAATAGTTTTGATCTTAATTCAAGTTCAAAAATGATCTTCAAGTAGGGGAGGATAATTCAAGATTGTTTTTTAAGAGTTAACTTGAGCAACCATAAATTGTATTTTTATATTAGTGTTATTATGTCATGTGGGGGTGAATCAAATGATTCAATTCAACAAAGTGTGGCATTTGTCTCAAATCTAATTTTCAATAATTACGTAATAAGCAAAATTTTCCTTATAGATGATCCTCCTGATGGGGCTTTTTTTAATATTTTTTTTCTAAAGTATTGCTAAATCTAATCCTTATCTCTTTACATGAATAATTTGCCGCTAGAGAACATGGATCAGAGGTTTCAAGAAGACCAAGGTTTGTTCACATCCCACAAGCAACTAATAGCAATCAATCTAAGTGAATGAATATGCTAATTAATGTACACCATTTATTTTGTTCAAGAATATTGCTAAATAGTAGGTTTCATTTTCTCATAGAGTTGAGAAACTAACCTGAGTTGCAAATTACTATTCTATCCAAAAACTATTATTATAATTTTTATCATAAAAATTAAAAGCCACCAAAAGTTAATGTAGCTTTTAAGCTTCTAAAAATAAGCCCCTCCAAACACCCTCAAACTATAAGATACTTAAGCGCCATTATTAATAAATAATCTCATGCATTTACAACTCTAACTGTAGATATCCCGGATTCAGGAGCATCAAATGGAGTCCAATGATTTTGTCTTATTTTTCTTTTTTCCAGATGGATATGCACATATATACTTATTTCAATCTTGTCGTCATGTCGTCATGGTAAGCAAAGTGGGCATATAGTGATTAATTGATGATTAATTGAGAAAGCAACTAGCTATTTAAATTTGCCATCATACATTGGACCAAATATCAGATCTAAAAACGAATTTATGTATAATTACTCTAAGTGACAGCTCATTAATTACCAAATTTGACAAGTTTCATTATATTCGTCTATGAAAAATTCTTCTTGAGACAATGTAGCATAAGACTACTATTGGTTTTATGCAGTATGTAATTATCAAAGTTAACAAGTTTCATTGTATATATGTGAATGTCCTTCTCAAACAAAATATGACATGATTTCAATATTACACATTTTGTATGTTAATTAATGTACCAAATATTACACGTTTTGTATGTTAATTAACAAATATGCCATATAATGTACCAAATATCAATAATAGTAGGTTTAATTTTCTCAGACTTGGTCAAAACACTACTTATTATGGTTTTTCATAAGAAGCCTATGACAATTCAATCAATACCACTCGGCATTGCCAATTGATGAGAGAGCTTATAGCTCGATTAAATGTCTTAAGCTTAGATATTGTTATTGTTGTTAACTTTGTTTGAAAACAAGCTCAGAGAATAGTTATTTGAATGTAGCTCTTATATTTTTCAAGAACACGCATATGTTTCATGGTGAGTTATAGGTGTTTGTAAATTTTTTAATGATATTGATTATGTTGTAGCAGAAGGTTCAAAGTTATTGATTAAGTTGTAGCAAAGGGTTTAAAGTTACTAGTGAGCTTTGCAATTTTGTATAATTTAGCTTGCAAAATTACTTATGGTCCTAAGATGCAGGTAGACATGGTACAAAAGAAGCACCAACTATTTATGAACGAAAAAATAAAGATTAATGAGAGATGGAATTTTTCTAAAGGAAAAAATATTGTGATGGCCTTTCTAAATTTGAATTGCCACTTAAATTTTGCTCTCAGTTTGAAGTTTAACATGGCTATTTAAGACGATAAATTCTCATGTATAATGTCTATGTTTTGTATTATGAACAATATACAGGGATTGGCCTGTTCGGACGGATAATACAAGGAACTTTCTATATTTCAAAGGAAGGGCTATTAATTGGCATGCACAAAATTATATATACAGTTTTTCCTTCAAAAACTTAGGCTGTTATTAATGTGTTTATATTTATCAACATTAAACTTTAGTGTAGGATATTTAGATTTTAAAGTATAACTTGTAGAATTTGAATTTGTTTTCTTAATAGAATTTTTAATTAAAAATTTAATGGGCATTATTATTCACTTAATTTAGCCAAATATTTTATTTTCAAAATACTCAAAATTATGAAATATAGCAACTGATTATGTAATTAACTAATTTTGAGTGATATGGAAAAATAAGTCTATGTAGAGGAGATGGAGGGCATGGTTGTTATAGTGTATCAGGAGATGGTGATAATGCTGGAGTTGGTTTTGGTTAGGAATCATTTCTAAATTTGTGTTTGCAGAAAGGTGTGATATAGGGGGAGGAAATGGGGGTTGCAATGTTGGTTTGAAGGAGATGATGTGGAGCACATATTTAAGCATTTGATATGCAATGAAATTTTCAATTAAGTATACTGAAAACTTTAGTTACAGATTGAGATACTTTATAGGTGATTATAGGATGTATGCATTACATACCAAATGATGATATAGTGTTACTATCTGCAATTTGACCTTTTGTACATACTACTATAGCTCATCTTAATAATTAAATAACCTATTTGTGTTTAAATCTCATGCTTAGTATCTATTTAAGATTGTTGCAGCTCCATATTTACCTATATTCTTATAAAAATTGATAAGCATTTGACCTTTTTACATTTCATTGTTTTGTGGCTAAACTAAATTTTAGTCGTTTATTTTATTTTCCTCTTCCTACCTTTCTATTGAAATCCTGAATATTTGGTTTTTTATTATATGATATAGAGAATTTCACATGTTTTGAGTATTCATAATATGTTAATTCAAACTTGTGGATTTGTGCTTCACGCGTGATGTTTGACAAAACTCGACTGGAAAACTAGATAACTTTCAGGATTCATACTCACCAAGTTGCCAATAAAAGAAAGATTCCTAGATAATGAAGGTGAAATAACTGATTTGCACTTATTTCTGCAATATAGTGTAACAAAAAAGGAATGACAAAGTAAAGGTACAGACTAGAAATTTTTTAGCAATGTACAGGTTGAGTATTAATGTTATATAAAAGTTGGTGTACTTAACAAGTTTAGGGGAGAAGAATATTGGTAAAATATGTGACATATTATGATAGGAATAATAATGACAATTAGAAAATTATATCCATGGTATACTGATTAGTGGTTCCATTACAGGAATGGGAGATTTAGAGACTGAGACGGAGACTCAGATTGAAGGTGCGGAATTGAATGAAGATTCATGGAAGAGTGACTCTGAGGATATGGATTATAGCGATGATTCATGGGAACCCAATCCTAATAATGAAGCATACTCTTCTGATGAGACTGATCCCGATGTGATTTTGGCCGATCGTGAAAATCTAGACCACTCAGGCGTAGAAATGACTATATCTTCTGTGGATGAAAAGAACAATAATTACTTCGCTTATGATTTAGAGGAATACGACGACTTGGCTGATTGGCGCATAGATGACTTTGATCCTAATCCAGACCATGGCATCAAAGATGAAATAAAAGAACAATGAGTTAATTGCAATGACTTACAATTCACCACAAAAATGTTAGTCCCTTATCATCCCCTCAACTCACCACCTCATTATTCTCTGTGCCCTACAATTCAACATAATAATTGTGCTATTCAAAAGATTACTTAATCAAATTTTACCTAATATAATTTTTCATGTATCCCTTTCCTTTTCTAATTTTCTCAATCATCTAATATAGAAACAAACATCTTTTTGATCATTGGTAGCTCAGTACGATTAACACCTCTATAAATAAATGTATCAGGATTTGTACTACATGATCAGAGCAACTGTCAGGATTTGTACTACATGATCAGAGCAACTGTCTTGCGTGTTTATACCGAGTACTCAATGACC